CTGGGGCCTTCGGTGGAGCTCCCTATGGGGCCACGAACCGTGTGAGGGGTGTGCCAGAATGGGGGGTGGAACCGCGTGCGGGCGCAGCCACTGGGGCCTTCGGTGGAGCTCCCTATGGGGCCACGAAACGTGTGAGGGTTGTGCCGGAATGGGGGGTGGAACCGCATGCGGGCGCAGCCACTGGGGCCTTCGGTGGAGCTCCCTATGGGGCCACGAAACGTGTGAGGGGTGTGCCAGAATGTGGGGTGGAACCGCATGCGGGCGAAGCCACTGGGGCCTTCGGTGGAGCTCCCTATGGGGCCACGAAACGTGTGAGGGGTGTGCCAGAATGGGGGGTGGAACCGCATGCGGGCGCAGCCATTGGGGCCTTCGGTGGAGCTCCCTATGGGGCCACGAAACGTGTGAGGGGTGTGCCAGAATGGGGGGTGGAACCGCATGCGGGCGCAGCCACTGGGGCCTTCGGTGGAGCTCCCTATGGGGCCACGAAGCGTGTGAGGGGTGTGCCAGAATGGGGGTGGAACCGCATGCGGGCGCAGCCACTGGGGCCTTCGGTGGAGCTCCCTATGGGGCCACGAAACGTGTGAGGGGTGTGCCAGAATGGGGGGTGGAACCGCATGCGGGCGCAGCCACTGGGGCCTTCGGTGGAGCTCCCTATGGGGCCACGAAACGTGTGAGGGGTGTGCCAGAATGGGGGGTGGAACCGCATGCGGGCGCAGCCACTGGGGCCTTCGGTGGAGCTCCCTATGGGGCCACGAAACGTGTGAGGGGTGTGCCAGAATGGGGGGTGGAACCGCATGCGGGCGCAGCCACTGGGGCCTTCGGTGGAGCTCCCTATGGGGCCACGAAACGTGTGAGGGGTGTGCCAGAATGGGTGTGGGAGGGGGAGGAGGGGGGAGGAAGGGGAGGAGGAGGAAGGAGGAGGAGGAAGGAACGCGGGGCGACGTCTCTTCAAAACGAGGACCCAACACCACAGGATGGTTGGGAAAAAGGACGGGGCAAGAAGAAGAGGAAGGGGGAGGAGGAGGAGGAGGAGGAGGAGGAGGAGGAGGAGGAGCGAAAAGAGGCGTACCACCCAAGCCGTGACCGCCAGGCGAGCACGCGAAAAGAGGCTCAACCCCCGCAGCGGGACGACCTGGAAGGAGGGGGAGATGGGTGGAAAGAGCAAGCAGGGGCAAAGGCAGGAGGGGAACCCGGAGAGACGACGGCGGGGGACCCCACGACACGGCCGAGCCAACGACCGACGACGACGACGACGACGACGACGACGACGACGACCGAGCGAACCCCGCGACCCACGAGGAGGACGAGGAAAAGGAGGAGACCGACGAACCACCGCGGAGGGGAGCGCCGCCAGGGGTGGCGGGAGCGCCGCGCCGCCTCCGACAGAAAACAAGCCGCCACGGGACCTCCTGAGGCTGGGAGCGGCGGAGGCAAGGGCGAGCGAAACTCGGCAAGAGCCAGGAGGCAGCAGATCGGCGTGCATCAGGCGAAGAGACCGGTGGGTGACAGAGCAGAACGGGCGACTCATCGGGCGGGGGACGGGGCAAGACAGGCGGCGGATCGGCGGGCGTCTGTCCGCGACCGCCGCAGCAGAGACTGCGGCGCGACGCCCCACTGCCACTCGGCGAGACAGCCGCGCGGGCAGCCCACGGCATGCAGCCACGGGCCCCGTGTGCCGCCACCGCACCGGCCGCCGCGCGCTCTCCACGCCCCCTCGCCCTGGCCCCCGAGCCGCTTGACACGGGCCAGGAAAATAGGCTCGGAGACGCCCGTTCAGCTGTACGCAAGAGTGACCCCACACGCAAGAGTGACCCTTCATGCGCGGCTTCTTGGGGGAAGCGGGGCGCCCAAACCTGGGCGCGCAAGCAGCTGCTACTGCTTCGTTCTCAGCCATCTGGGGGCCCATCTGTGCCCGCACCAAAGGTCACTCTGGCGAAAGGTCGCTCTTACGTCTAGTCCCCGCCAGGTCTGTCTTTTAAATACTCAACCCCCTGTCCCATGAGGTCCCCTAGAGTATTCTCAGAGTTTGATGCGTTTCACGAGTTGTGCGACACTGTGTCCAGTGTCGCTGGGGTGGCGTCCCACAGTATGCGAGCATGACTGTACTGACGCCGATGTGGCTCAAGCGCGCAAAACATTCGGGAGGAGAGGGGCCTCCCGCTTGTCGCCCCGCGCGCCCCCAGGCCTCCAGAGTCCCTCGATCCGCCCACGAACCCGTTTCACATGGTAGCAGGAGCGTGATGGTTGGGCAGGGACAGGGGCCGACGGGCGCCGCCGAGGGAGGCGAGCAGCCCCTCCAGCCCGACGAGGTGGAGCGTGCTGCCAGAGCAGCACTAGCAGCAGCAGCAGCAGCAGTAGCAGCACCAGCGCCCGAGGTTCCCAGCGGAGACCAAGGGGCGCGAACAGAGACAGCAACGACAGGGAGCGGCAGCCGAGGGACAGGCCGCGCGGGAGCTCCCTTGCAGGCAACGACAGCAGAGGAGGCAGACCCCTGGCTGCAGGGGGACCCGTGGAGCGACGCGGCTGGGAACAACCATGCCGGCTGGTGGAATTCGTGGAGAGAATGGTGGGGCTCAGCCAGCTGGTGGACCGGCTCGCAGGTGAATGAGTATGCAGACCACTGGTGGACCAGCTCACCGGCGAACGAGCGCGAGGTCTGGGTCACCATCCAGAGGCCGCGGCAGCCGCCGCTCCCCCACGGGCTGATGCGCGGAGCGGCCGGGAGCGATCCCGCCACGGCGCAGGCCCCTCCGTCAGCACCTGCGCCGGCGACGCCGCCGGCACGGCCGCCCGCGGTGACGATGGCCCCAGCGCAGCCGACCCAGCCACTCGCAGCAGCAGCGACGGAGCTGACGGTCGAGGCGACGCAGGTTCCGCCACCGCCACGACCGTGGGCACCCACTGACGGAGGATCGACGTCCACGTGGCGCCCGTCAGACACACAGGGCCCTCAGCCGTGGGGAGGCTTCGAGCATCTCGAGACCTACGTAGTGGCCCTGCGGCGATGGAGCAGAAGGACGGGCCTGCCGGCAGAGCAGCAGGCGGGCAAGGTCATCGACGGCTTGCCCGTGGACATGCAGGAGAGGCTCCTGCACTACGCGGAGGAGCTCGACGCCCCCGGCGGCATCGAGGTCCTCATCGACTTCCTGAAGAGGTGCCGGGGCGACCAGGACGGCGACGAGGCCAAGGAGAGCTTCAGGCTGGCACTGGAAGACACCGAGATGAGAGCGGGGGAGTCGTACACCCAGTACGTGATGCGCCGGGACCTGCAGGTGAAGTCGGCGAAGAGGTACGGGCTCGAGCTCCCAGAGCAGGTCCAGGTGCAGCAGCTGAGGAGTGGAGCGAACCTGAGTGAACAGAATGCGATCAACCTGCTCTCGATCACCCAGGGACGTGAGGATCTGGAGTCGATCAAGCAGGGCTTGAAGAAGATGGACGTGAAAAAGAAGAGCAGCCAGAAAAAGTCGAGGGTGTACGCGGTCGGACACGACGAGGACGAGGAAGACGAGGAGGCGTTCGGCAGCAGCGAGGTCTACCTCGAGCTGGAGGAGGACCTCATCCTGGACACCGAGGACGCGCTGGCCTTCTACGAGGCGATCGCCAACCAGGAGTTGGACGAGGACCAGGCGGCGGCCGTCCTGGCCGCGGTGCTGGACGAGAAGAGAACCAAGGAGGGCCGGCCTCGGAAGTGGGCAGAGTCGCGAGAGCTGAAGAAGGCCATTGCCCGGGACCGCGACTTCTTCGACTCCAAGAGAGCCGGAGGCCGGGCGGCGCCACGCCCGCCAGCGGGCAAGCAGCGCCTCAGCATCGCCCACCTCAAGGAGAGGACGCGGTGCGCCAACTGCGGTCAGAAGGGGCACTGGCGCAAGGAGTGCACCAATCCGTACAAGCCGAAGCAGATCGAGCAGCGGCCCAAGAAGGAGCTCGGGGGGAAGTCGCTCTACGTGGCGGCGGACTTGCTGGACGAGGGCGACGGCACCTTCCTCGTCGGAGGGCCTCGGATTCGGGAGCTGTTTCGGAACGTGCTGATCGGCGAGTCCTGCGATCGAGGCCAGGTGGGCCACGGACGAGTGCTAGCCGACCAGCCTCTGCGAGGCCAGGTGGGACTCGCGGGGGAACGAGGCGATCCCGACGGCGGAGAACTGGGGCCAGGTGGGCCTCGTTCGAGGTCCGAGGGAGCAGCCCCCGATGACAGAGAGCTGGGGCCAGGTGGGCCTCGTTCGAAGTCAGAGGAGGCGATCCTCGGCACGTTCATCCTGGACATCGAGGGCGACGAGCCGGAGGGCATGGTGGACACGGCGGCCGGGCAGGCGCTGGTGGGCGAGAAGCAGCTGAAGGTATTGCAAGAGAAGTACTACAAGAAGGGCTGGCGAATCCCGGTGAGAAAGACCGACGGCAACAGCAGCGCCAAGGGGATCGGCGGCCGCTCCAGGGTCGTCGGGGAAGCGATGGTGCCGGTGACCAGTGCGGGGATCCGGTGCCTCATCCTCTTCAGAGTGATCGCGGAGGACGTCCCCCTCCTCCTGCCCGTGCGCTGGATGGAGAGCCTGGGGGCCGTCGTGAACCTGGCCGAGGACAAGATCACGCTGCGCTTCGAGGGGCTCGACCGCACCGTCAAGCTCACGAGGCAGAGGTCCGGCCATCGCACCATGGCGCTGCTGGACGAGAGCCTCCCGGGGGACTTCGACATTCCTGAGGGGGCCCGGCGCGACTGGCCGGGCCTCGAGAATGACACGTTTCGAGTGTACAGGCCTTCCTCCTTTGCCATCCTCCCCTCCTCTACGCCCGAGGCCTCAGGAGAGCCCGTATTGGACCCCCTCGAACTCGAAACCCCCGGGACCGTAGAAGGGAAGGGGGGGATCGGCTCGGCAGGATTCCAGGATACCCAATTCAAGGACTCAAGAGGCACTACGGGGAGATCACGAAGTACAAGAGAAGGAGAAGCTCAGGAGGATACAGGTACCAGAGGAGATGGCACAGGGAGAGGAGGCGGCGGAGAGACCAGGAGGCTACTCTCGGAGCTCACCTCAACCGTCGTACAGACCCGTGGGCTCGAGAGCACGTCCGATTTCCTCGATTCATCTCACGGGCCAAGAGAACGGGAGCCTCTGTCACGAGAAAGCCATGGCGTCCGGGAGAGCTCGCACGCCAGCGGTGAGGAGAAGCTCCAGTCTGAAGCGAGAGGGGGGCTCGAGGAAGAATTCAGCACCAGGGACTCCCCGGCCGACAGTCACCTTCTCGGAGCCGATGGACACCAGCTGGGAGAGGCTGCCGGGGTCCGACCTGGAGTCCGAGGGGAGCGAACAGTCATCCCCGCCGCTGCAGGACGGCGCGGCATCGACCCGTCCCACACCTCCGTCGCCGCCCCAGCCGACGTCAAGGCCCCACATCGGCCTCCAGACGAGCTCCCTGAGGAAGGCCTGGAAGCGGATGACGGTCAAGCTGATGCACGTGGCCGACGTGGGACAGGCGACCAAGATGATCCAGGAGATGCGCGACGAGGCGACCGGGAAGATGAACGCTCTGGAGTGCCCTCATCCACCCTGGGCCCACTGGGAGTCAGGCAACCAGCACATGCGCTACGTCAAGTGCCTGAGGTGCTCGAGCATGATCTGGAGAAGGGACCTCACGCACCGCGAGAAGCAGGCCCAGCAGCTCAAGAAGGTCGAGAGGGAGGCCCGGCGGGCGGCGAGGACCAAGCAGCTGGAGACGCCGCCTTGGGAGCCGCCGAAGGTCGAGGGTCGCAGCAAGGAGGGCGTCAAGAGGGCGGCCAGGGCTACTCCAGCGGCGTCGTCCGGTTCGGCCGACACGACGGTAGAGACGAGCAGCTCCGACCTCAACCAGATGATGAAGGCGATCCAGACCAACAGCGAGGTGGTATCGCAGCTGGCGCTGGCGATCCAGCAGCTCGTGCAGAAGGGGACCTGAGGGGCTCGGAGAGCCGAAGGAGGATCAGGGAGGGGGAACAAGGGAGCTCGGGGATCCAGGACGATCGGGACCTCCAGGGACCCACTCCAGGAGGATCTTTCTGTGTGGAACCCGGGGAAGGAGGGGGAATCTGGCGAGCAGCCTCTGTCGCACGATCCCGCTGTCTCGGCAAAAGTCACCGAGACAGCAGCTTTAGAGCCTCGGGCATATGGTGGGACACTAAGGAAGGTCGGACGGTCACGCTTGATGAGGTTTCCAGGGCCCGGGGCTGGGAATCCCACCGGCTCGATCCAGAAGAAAAATGCCGCCTGATGGCCCAAGTGGCCTGCTACTTAGTTCGTCGGCCCGACCCGGGCGACCTAGGCGAGTGGCTTTCGGACTGGGTCAGGATCCGCTGCTCAGGAGCGTCAGGAAACACCCTCTACGACTCCCTCTCCTCAGACTTCTCGGCGCGGCAGTTACAGCTCGCCATCGCCAACGAACCCCTGGACCACACCACCGTAGAGGCGTGGACAGCTTCGGCGTCTACGCACGTACCTCCGCCCGGCTCGAGTTCGAGGACTCCGGCTGGACCGGCGTCTCCGCTGGAAGGTATATACTCCCTTGGCCGGGCCCCCTCGATCTCAGGATTGGTTTTCTCCCAGGAAAGTGAGTGCCTGGTTCCCAGGGAGGTCCGAGACGCCGTGTTGGCCGCAGGAGGGGAGGGACCGGTGAGGAAGCAGCGGAAGCGGCGGAAGAAGCTCGTCCAGGACTGGCTTTTGGGATCCGGCCGCAAACTGATCTTGGAACTCTTTTCGGTCCCACGGGTCGCGGACAGCCTAAAAGGGCAGGGCTATCCCGTTTCCAAGAGCCTGGATTTACGGACCGGCTATGATCTCGGGTCTCCGTCAGGGGAACGTGCGATGTGGAGCATCATAGAGCGAGATCGGCCCGAGGTCATAGTCATGAGCCCCGAGTGTCTGGCCTTCTCCGTTGCCCGTCGTCCCAGTTGGCACCGACTCAAGGGAACCGACCTCACAGACCCCGAGACCGTCGGCCTCAAGTTCATGTCCCTGTGCGTTAGAGTGGCCGAATACCAGATGGGTCGGGGCCGTGGTTTCCTTCTTGAGCACCCCGAGGGTGCCAGCTCCTGGGAAATGGACTCGGTGCGGGAAATCTTGAATCGGCCGAGCGTCGTGTCGGGGGTTGCCGATCTCTGCCAGTACGGTTTGTCCGTGAAGGGAGGAGAGCCCAACAAGAAACCAACCAGGTTCATGACTAACCGTGCGTCTATTTTGCAGCCCCTCCTGCTCAGGTGCGGCGGGAGTCATCAGCATCGTCAGCTCTGTGGCAGGGCCCTCACGCGAGCGGCCCAGAACTACCCCCCGGGACTCGTCCAGGCCATGTGCGAGGGAATCCTGGAGTCAGCTCGCATCGTCGCCCTCGGGCACCGGGAGGAAACCCTGTGGTCCGGTGTTTGGGAGGATCCCGAGTGGCTGGCCGAGAGAAGGGTGACAGGGGTCCCATCCCCCAGACCAATCGACCGACAGGTTGCCTCCTTTCCAGCCCAAGAGGACCTTGGCTCGGACGACGAGCCCGAGGAGGGCGAGGGGAGGGAAGGACTCGGGTCTAGTCAGAGAGCGGGGAGGCAGGCCGGGTCAATCAGTCGAAGTCAGCGCCTGGAGGTTTCTCGGACCCACGTGAACCTGGGCCACCCGTCAAGGGACGCCTTCTTGAAAATGCTGCAAGTTGCCCAGGCTCGGCCCGAAGTTATAGAATACGTCAAGCACGAGTTTCGTTGCGAGCAGTGTGACAGCCACACCCGACCGTCGTGGAGGCGTCGAGCCGCCGTTCCCCGAACCTACCGGTTCAATCGGCTCGTTGCTGTGGACTGTCTGTTCGTTACGATTCTCAGCACTAAGATGACGGTCCTGAACATGCTCGATCACGGCACTAACTTTCAGCTGTGCCATCTGCTCGGTCCCGGGGAACCACTGACGTCTGAGAATATCTGGGAGGCTTTTGACAAGAGCTGGATCAGGATCTTTGGCCCCCCCGAGGTCGTCATCAGCGATGGAGGATCAGAATTCCTGGGCGCGTTCGGCCGTGGCTGTGAGCATGCAGGCGTGTTTCAGCATGTCTGTGACGCCACGTCTCCGTGGCAGAACGGCCGGGCGGAGCGACACGGAGGATGGATCAAGAACGCTCTGACGAAGGCCTCCGATCATGTCCAGCCGACGTCTCATGCCGAGGTCGAGTTGTTGCTTCATGAAACAGTGTCCGCCAAGAATCGATACTACCACCGGTCTGGGTACTCTCCGTACCAGCTTGTCTTCGGAGAGAACCCCAGACTGCCAAGGTCTCTTCTCAGCGACGAGGGAGTAGACGATATCGGCCTAGCAGATGTCCAAGCAGAGGCCGCCACGGAAGATAGTGCGGCCAGTGCGTTCGCCAGAAAGCATCAGATCCGTGAGCAGGCCAAGAAGGCCTTGATGGCGGCGGACGCCAAGTCGCGTCTCGCCGAGGCCCGGAGATCTCGACCCCATGTCGATCGCGTCTTTCTGCCTGGCCAGTGGGTGTACGTGTGGCGCAAGGTGACAGGGGTGAAGACTCACGCGCTGCAACGAGATCGGTGGGTCGGCCCCGGGGCCGTCGTCTTTCACAAGGGAACCACAGTTTGGATCGCGATGCGAACCAAGCTATGGAAGTGCTCGGTCGAACAGGTCCGAGAGGCGACGCGTGCCGAGGCGCTCGGAGCCGAACTCGTGGATACCCCGGAGTTTCGGGCCCTTCAGGCCGAAGTTCGCAACCCAGGCAAGAAGGTGGGGGCTCTGGACGTCGAATCCGAGGGTTCCCCCCCGGACGAGGCCTGGGACGGTCAGGACACAATAGGGGCCGAGGCGGGGGGACCGGTCACTACTGGCGGAGGAGGCGGAATGGCGTCGGCTCGTCCCTCGGAGCCCGCGGAAGCCTCGGTGGAAGCCCGGTCCCCTCTTCCGACTATTCCTGAAAGCAGCGAGGTTGTGAGCCTGGGAGACCAGAGCGAGCTTCCCGAGGACCTGCGCCGAGCTTTGGATGCCCCGTACCCCCTCCGTCCCGCTCCTGACCTGGGCCGATTTGTCAGGACCGAACCCCTCGAGGACAAAGAGGACAAGTTGCATCCCCCTCCCGGCCTGGAAGAACCCCCTAGAGCTCGCCCCCGAGTAGAAGGCAGTCCCAGCCCGTCCCCCGCTGCCTCTTCCACTCCCAGTCTAGTCAGGACCATCGACGGCTGTCGAGGCGATTCGAATCCAGGAGCTTCAGTCGTACCTGAAAGAGCCAGAGAGAGGTCTCCGCGAGCTGCCGCCCGACCAGCTGAGGGATCGACGTCTCGACACACTCGGCGAGCCGGGTCGCCCATGCGCGGGTTGCTCTCTCGCATCCACGTTATCCCCGCGGGTCCCGGGGTGACGCCGGTGGAGCTCCGAGAGTCGGCCTCCGTGGCCGAGAGGGTTCAGGAGTGGGAGGCCCAGAGGAGTTCGGCGGACGACGCCAGAGGCGACCCCGGCACTTTGATCGAACTGGCTTGCGGAGAGGAGGAGGGCCTGATCGAGCTCAGGGAAGAGGACGGGACTGACGAACAGGACCGGATGCTCCTCCAGGAGTTGGCGACCTGGGGTCCGGGTCCCGGGGACGACGAACACGGTCCGACCTCCTCGTTCGCCACGGCCGGACCGACTCCAGGTGGGTCCCGGCGGGGCCAAGAGGTCGTCTGGAACAAACTCAGTCCAGAAGAACGAGAGGAGTTCAAGAAGGCGGACGCGGCCGAGTGGTCCGCCATGACCGCCACTAAGGCAGTGAGAGTGGTCTCCCCCGCGGAGGCGACCCTGGTCCGCCGGAGGGATCCATCAAGGATTCTCTCGTCGCGCATGGTCCGTCGGTGGAAGCCGCAGGAGGGCACGGGAGCCAGCGAGAAGGCAAAGTCACGCTGGTGCGTGAGGGGGTATGCCGATCCTGACGCGGAGTCTCTGCACGTGTACGCTCCGACTCCTCAGGAGGAAGCTGTGTTGGTTGCTCTCCAGCTGATAGCTGGCAAGAAGTGGAGGCTTCAGATAGCGGACTGTAAGAATGCCTTTTGCCAGGCGGACCCCCTCTCCCGCCCCAACGGGAAGATATATGTCGAGCCATGCGATGGCGTTGACGTCCCCCGGGGGGCCCTCCTGGAACTTGTGGCCCCAGTCTACGGCCTGAACGACGCTCCGATTCGCTGGCATCAGACCTTGACCAATCACCTCAAGTCCCTGGGGTTTCGGCGCTCCCTTTTGGAGCCGTGTCTTTGGGTTGCCCACCATGCCTCGGGTAGTCTCAGGGCTCTTGTGGTGATTGAGGTCGACGATCTTATTGTCTCTTGCGAACCCTCATATGAGAGTGAGCTCAAGAAGGTGTTGACCGATCGTTTCCGTTTCGGTAAATGGCAGGTCGGTGAGGCCGAGTACGCAGGGAGAAGGATCCGCCAGCAGTCTGATGGGCGCATTCTCGTCGACCAGGAAAAATATATCCTGGAGCAGGTCCGTCCCATGAGACTCGACAAGGAGCGTGTTAAATGTCCTGAGGAGCTGCTCGATGCAAGGGAGCTCCGAGACTATCGCGGCCTGGTGGCGAAGATTCTCTGGGCGGCCCGCCAGTCTCGTCCCGACGTGTCCGGATCCGCCTCGATGCTGAGCGCCGAATGCCCACAGGTCAAGATAGCCTCGGCTCTCATGGCTAACAAGGTAGCTCGCCACCTCCGGTGCACAGCCAGCTCCTGTCTGACGATTTGGCCCCTGGACCTGAGTGCCGTGACCATGGTCACGTGCAGTGACGCGGGGGGCCCCGGGTCCGCTAAAAGAGACGGTGCTCAAGGAGGCTGGCTCGTGATGCTAGGAGATTCCAGGATCAAGGATAATCGTCGTTCCCGTGTTTCGCTCTTGTCTTGGAGAAGTCAGAGGCTCCGTCGAGTCGTTTCGTCCACGCTATCGGCGGAGACGTTAAGTCTTTCCGGG